TACAAGAGGGAAGCTGATATTTTGATGGCAAAGGCATTGCAAGAGTGTCCAAATAGTGGTATATTGTGGGCAGTGTCTATTGAGATGGTTCCACGGCCTCAACGAAAAACCAAGAGCATGGATGCGCTCAAGAAATGTGATCATGATCCCCATGTCATTGCAGCTGTGGCTAAGTTATTTTGGCATGATAGGAAGGTGGATAAAGCTAGGACTTGGCTCAACAGGGCTGTGACTCTTGCTCCTGATATTGGGGATTTCTGGGCGTTGTACTACAAATTTGAACTTCAGCATGGCAGTGAGGAGAACCAGAAAGATGTGATGAAAAGGTGCGTTGCTGCAGAACCAAAGCATGGTGAGAAATGGCAAGCAATTTCAAAGGCTGTGGAGAACTCTCACCAGCCAAGTGAAGCCATTTTGAAGAAAGTAGTTGTTGCACTGGGAAAGGAAGAGAGTGCTGCGGAAAACAATAGTAAACACTAATTATTTTTAAGGTTGTAGGTTCTGATTGTTACTGTGTTCAGGTTTTGTTGTAGAATACTTTTACTAGGGGTAGTGCCCAACTGGTCTCTCACTCGTATGAAATTTTGATTTCTTTAATGAATTCGGACGGCCTATTTAATGCTGAAGCATGTTTGCTTTGACCTTTGGCTGTAATGGTGAAAATTGTGTTTTATCATGATATTTAAGCATTTAAAATATTTTTATTGGTTTTTACTGCCTCATGTTACTCATCACTGTGTCAAGATACTATGGAATTTGGTTCTGTGACCCTCTAATTTTATATCTCAGTGTAGACTGATCTTATGACAGTTTGAATTTGTCATTGGAATAGACTACTAACTCTTGCAAGGTTTAGGGTATCTATAATATGAAGTATCAAAAATGATCTCTGAAAAGCGAATTGTCGGGTAAATGTTTTTATTGTGTTCTGAAGCACAAAACCTTAATTATTTACTTGAGTGACATCATTACATTCTATTTATAGCCATCTGTTGTCGTTTTGGTGCCTATTTAGGCCAAACCAACAAGCTTCTCACTTATCTCCCACAGTTTTCGTGCCTTCTCTGCATCACTTGCCTCTTTAGAGAGCTGGTTTTCGAATGAATCTGAGTTCTTGTTCCAGCTCCAGTAAACACCTGATTTTGTCAGACTTGGATCACTCACAACCTGCGACATAGAAGGCTTGTTTGGTTATCATGCAATGTAATACTTAATTGCTGTACATGTGAGCATATAATGAAGACTTTTTCTTGTTTTCAAAGTTACTTCAATTCACCTGTCCTAGTCTATTCCCAGCTTCCTCTTCTGAAACATAGCCTTTGGTAATGTACTTCTGAAATGGTGGAAAGAGAAGCCTGAACAATGGAATATGCTCCCTGAACAGACCTGTTGTTGCGATGCAACCAGGATAAAGAGAGGCAAAGGTGATTCCTGTTTCCTCATGGTAGCGCCTGTGCAACTCTTGCATGGTGAGCATATTACAAACTTTGCTGTCTTTATATGCCTTTGCACCATCGAAGTCTCCTCCATCTATCATGGGCGAGCTCTCTAGTCCATTCAAACCTCCAACAAGACCTCTAAGATCTCCGAGGTTAGCCTTTGGGGGAACATTTCCGGCCAAGGTGTTTGTGTTTCCTGCAATCGCATTGAGGGAAAGTGGAAAATTAGAATATTTATTATCAAATCATATCACTGTTGATATTGGTGATACACCTTCTCATATTATCAAGTCCTAAAAATATCAAGTTTATGATTTATTGCTTTCCAAAATATGCGATCATGGTAAGAGTTATGATGAACTTTTTCATCATTCATACAAAAATTCTGCACTATGCTCAATTGTCATGATTAAACCTTTTGCAAGTTTAATAAGCACTGGCTCCATATTTCCCTCAGTTAACCTGGTAGAATAAGGTTCTTGAAATGTATTTATAACTTCTGCACAGTGAGAGCTAGGTTGGTACCTGTGATGGAACCGACAATAATGAGACGTTTTGATGGGTAGTCTGACTGCTTCAGGTCATCTAAGAGTAGCCTTGCGAGGAGGAAGTGACCAAGATGGTTTGTTCCTACACTGAGTTCAAATCCTTCAGCGGTATAAGTTGGTTCCTTAGCTGTAGGTAAGTATACAGCGGCATTGCAAACCAGGACATCAAGCGGCATGCCGGAGCGACGGAAATTATCCACAAATTGCCTAACACTATCAAGTGAGGCAAGGTCGAGATGCATTATGGTATAGTTCTCCTTAGCTATGCCAACTGATTTGGCTGCTTTCTCAGCCTTGAGAAAATTTCTACATGCCATAATTACGTGCCATCTCCCTGTTTCAGTGAGAAACTTGGCTGTGGCAAGGCCCAAGCCAGAGGAGGCCCCGGTTATTATCACATTACCTTTTCTCAAGGTCTTCTTTCCTGGTGATGCAGCCTGATCAACTGCTGGAGTTGTAGCAGCTGTTTGGGCTCGAATTATACCGGCAGATACGTCCTTTTTCCTAAGTTCCTACAAGTTAAGTCCATTACGCACACCAAATGCAAAAACTGACAGTTCAAGGAGGGAAAACAGGGAAAATGCCTGAAAGGAAATATTTATAGGCATTTGAAAGGAAAAACTAACCAGTTCTGTGGTAAGGCCTAGGGCATTTTTGGGTGTATCTGACACTGTAATTAAAATGAATTCAATTTGGAAACTAAAAGAGTCTGAATTAAGTATTCTAGAAGTAATTATCTAGCTGAATTCATTAACTTGTACAGCAATTGGCTCAGACACATCTTTTTTGTCTGCTACTCACAGCATTTGGGAAACAAAATGCCTCTCTGTCATGGTATAAGTTGCCTAAACTTGATGCCTTCAGTTTTGCGGTGAATAAATAATGGAATTCAAAATGAAACTTGCCATTTCGGAATTGTCTGAATAAGGCCAAAACACTTGTCTCTCTAATTGTGTGCTAGGATGTGCCATCTATGTCGGCAATAATTTCATCTCTCTCAGAACTTAAACTTGGGAATCCATAAGAAACGCATTAATTTTGGAGACAAGAAAGATATTTGCCTGTTACCTGACCTATTGCCAGAGGAGAGCCGAGTTCAGTTCTGGGATGGGTTGAGAATGGAACACCGAATAGACTTGTCTCCTTAAGAGCAGCACTGGATTTGGCCTGTCAATATAACACGCGCAAGGATGAACCAAATATATCAAATGAGAGCCATAAAGCTAAATAGTTTCTTGAATATCACTACTCTGTAGCAACTAACTAACCTCTTTGTGGATAGAGATGGTAGCTGGGAGTAATGAGGCTGCTTGGAGAGCCATGAAGCTGCTAATCTGATTTGTGAAACTGAATCTGTGCCAGGTGGATTTACCTGTGATCTTTGCTCCTCCACAGGGACGGATAAGATTACTTCTCTGCAGGTTGACAGAACACGCCACGTCAGCTGCTATTGTCCAATGAGGTTTCGAGTTTGGGATTTCTTTTGATCTCTCTTGCTAGCTTTACGTTGGTCCTAAAGCAGGTTGGGCTTTGCAGTCTGAAGTCCTCCATAAACAGATTCTCTCTGGGCCTTTTCGGCCCACTGTCTCTAACGCAACAATCCGGTTCATTGACATTATTCGGTTTTAACAGGATTCAAGGTGTTCATGGTTGTCGTTAGATTGAATTGTGTAACCTAAAATGTGAAGCTATGGAATCATTTAAAATCCTAATATTGGGTTGGAGTTACATTCAGCTTCCACCTTGAGTATTGATCACTATTGAAAATTTGGCTGTTTTAATATGCATATATATATATATATGGTCAAGTGCGGCCTAAATATCTTCCCAAAGATGTTGGAGAAACAAGAAGTGGAGGATTGGCATAGTTAAAACTGATGACAGTTGGTTTAAGCAATCATGCCAAATCCCAAATTTGTCTTTTACTTGTTCATCCTTTTCACCAAGCAATAATAATTATAATAATACCCATCACTAAGTTTAATAGATATTTATAAGCTAAAGAAGATTGCAGCAGCCGCATACTGACATCAAAGTTGGGTTTGGTAAAGAGAAAATGTCAGCAGCTAATTTACTAAAACATTGCTAAGATATTTTCAATTTCCTAAATATTTTAGTTAACTCGGGCATCATTTCTAATTATATCTGTAGATCATCATTATCGTGCCGTCGCAAATAAGAAATGTAGATGATCTCATGGGCCGGTGACTGGGTCCCACCTTTCACCGTCACCGCCAGTCAATATAAACTATCTCCAAAAGCTTTTGATTCCATAATTAAGGTGGAAAGGTGTTTGTTAAGCATGTTGCTTTGGGCTGGCTCCCCTCGTTGTTCAGACTTAAGGTGTGGTACACTTAGTCGGTTGGGATGAGGTTCCAAAGCTGTCCCATCTCCAATATTTGAGTATTCCGGTTGAGTAGTTTTCAGTTCTGGGGGTTTAGGATATTAAGAAACGTGACTTCGTTTCCCTTTCTCTCTCTGTCTTTTTTATTTTAATAAAAATTCTTGTATTGCACCCTATCACCACTTTCACTTGTGAGTAGAAAACATGCTTATTGTAATTCCACGAAACAGCACAGGGATAAAAACAAAGCATCGGCTAAGGACCTGGTTTTATATTTATATGCATTGAATTTAAAAAATAAAATTGATTGTAGGAATGTGTCTTTTATTTATAAAATTTCAATGTCAACTTTTCATTTAAATATTATCACTCAACACAACTTCAGGTTACTCCTGCGCTGCTCTTTTAACAGTTAGGCATATTTGTTTTCAAATTCTAAGGATGGTTTGTTGGACTAAAGTTTGAGGTAGGCCAAGCAATCTAAATGTCCCTTTGGTTATAGCAATAACATATTCAGGATGATAGCTGATTTGCTGAATGCAAGCATTATTTTATCAAGCAGCAAAAACGAACAAGACTAGAAGAGAACAAACTAGCATGATTTGTGACTAATGGTAATGCTGCAAATTGCTTCATTCATCATGACATGTACTGCTACGAGAAAAAGAGTAGAAAAGGAAGTTAACAAACTCCACAATGTACAGAATCACAAGTTGATTCCATGCTCGGAGCAGAAAAATAAAGCTCGAGATGGATGGACCAATTGAGAAGGAGATCACCAAACTGTCTCCCTCTATGCTGGTCCTGCACTCAAATTGGCTTATAGCTACTACATCTGCAACATTACATCAACAGACAAGAAAAACAACTAAAAAGCTTGCTTATTAACATCGAAAGGACACTATCTACTGCTATACTAGATACTACTAGCGCTAAAAACATAGTGCAAGAGTCAAAGCTGAAAGGCATGAGCAAACATGAAGTGTCTCTGCTAAAAAAGGCCTGAAAAATACGCAACCTTTTTGCAGGTGTGATGGAGTGGATAGAGAATCCGAGGGAAAAAGATTTTGAAAATATGAATCATGTGAAGGAAACAAAGTGGAGCCGAAGCTAAAGGAGAAGAAAGCTACGAAGGAACCACAGGTTGGTTTGGTGAAAAATCTGCAACCAGCAAGGAATAAAAAGATCAGAAAATGGAAACTTAAAAATCTCCTAAGCCAAGGGGAAACGAGAAAGGAGAGTGAAAGTCAGAGGCTGGTTTCCTAAAAAATCTGCTACCAGTGAAAGAAAATCCAAGGGGGTGGTCTAAAAACCCTCCTCAGCGAAAATCCAAAATAGAAACACACACAATGACATGGAAAAGAAAAGTAGAAGCACAGAGATCTGTCTTAAGGCTATACCACTAAAAGCTGGATTTTCTGGATGGCCTATCAATCTTGATCTTTCCAAAAGAAGGATTTCATTGGACAAGAAGTGGAAGAAGAAGAAGCACAACTATCTTGCTGTTTCTGGATATCAGAATCAGTCAAGTCCTGCTGGTTTTGATTGGCGAAAGGAAGGTTTGAGGGGATAAGAAGATTGTTTGTGGTGTCTAAATCATCCCACACAGGACTACCAGGACCCCAACCTGCTGGAATTGCATTGAACCAAGCCTCTGCCATATCTCCCCAAACCAATTCCTGGGACCCCGAAACCCCTTCCCCTGCTCCAGAACCCTCTGCTGTCATCTGCACCTCATCACTGGCAGTAGCCTCACTGGACCCCAACCCTGAATCACTGTCAGGATTATCTCCCTGAGGCTGTGCTGGTGGTGGCATCATTTCCATTTTCGCAGACTGCAAGTTCAGGCCATCCTGTTCTTGTTGCGGGAGGTTCTGATTCTGGTTTGGCTTTGAACTTTCACGGGGAGTTTGTGGAGAGGAAACTGTTGAACTTGGTGCTGTGGACGTATCTTTATCCTTATTGAGGAAAAGCTCAGGGAAATTGAGCCTCGCATTCTCTCCTCTCAACTTGAATGCCTCGCGATCATAGGCTAAGGCAGCGTCTTCAGCTGTGTCAAATGTGCCAAGCCAAAGGCGAGTCCTGTTTCGAGGAAGACGAATTTCAGCTACCCATTTGCCCCAATGCCTCTGCCTCACACCTCGATAAAGCTTGGTAGTATTTATAGGCTGCACTGGCGGCCTAAACAATTGTCTACCATCCTGCCCCAATCTGCTCATCATCATCATCCTCCCCCTCGGACTCAAATTCAATGCATCACTCCAGTATTGAAGAAGTTGCTGCTGCTGCTGCTGTTGCTGAGGTGGTAAGGTTGATTCTCCAGCGAAAAATGGCGGATAAACAAAGCCATGTTGATGCTGCTGAGGACTAAAGGAGATCATGTGTTGCTGATTCTGTGGTGGGCGGAAAATTGGCATGAGAGTTGGAGTATTTCCATATTGCTGAGGAAAGTGCATTGGCTGCTGAGATGCATCAAAAGCAAAAGGAAAAACAAGTCTGGAAGATGGCAAAGTGGCATTAGAAGAAGAACAAGAAGAAGAAGAAGATGGTGGGAAAAGAGTAAGAGAAGAAAGCGAAGTAGTAGAAACAGAGGAGGGAGCAGAGAACGAAGACGACTGATGAGCCAAAGAAACAGAGGATTGAACAGGGTCTTGACGTTCAGGGCTACGGATCTTCTTGAGAGGTCTTTGTGACATGGAAGCTTCATCAAAAACTGGCTTCCATTGCTGCCTCTCGAACCCAAAATCAAGATCTTTGCCTTTGTCAATCTCCCAATCTTGGCTTGTTGTCATCTTTTCTGTCTCATCAACAACACCCTTCTTGGATTTGCCACTATGTTTTGCTGCAGCCATTGATAATACTAAGCACCGGCTCGCTCTCTCTATATAAATAAAACCTTTGATAAATTCTATGAGGGAGATTAAATTCGAGATGGGACAATTTAGAAAAATAACTCTGATGGAAAGATTCGAATCAAATGTATATATCAAGCGGAAAAAAAGGAGGAGGACAAAGATAATCTTGAATACACCCAGATTCAAATTTGGTCAGAGGATTTAAAAAAAGGGAGACATTTTAGAATCTGGAAGCAGAATTTAATAGCTAATCCTACGGAACCAAAAAGACAGAATCAGATACGATTTCGAGATCCCAGACCCCATCGCAAAATTCCCCAAACTCTGCCCTGGAGATAAAACAGAGAGAGCGAGCTCTATTTCAATGATGCAACAAGCAAATCCAAAACGGGTGCTCAGCTGCTGTTTACGGTACAATAGGAATGTGTTGGCTTCGCTTTTCCAGCTTAAATTTGATAGCTTTTGGAGTGGAGAAGCGAAGGTGAAAGAAGAAAAATGAAAGTAAAAGCAGGGGGGGCTCTGTGTTTGAGAGAGAGATAGAAGAAATGCAGGGGAATGGAGGGGGCTTATAAGAGGGCGGAAAAAGATTTAGAGAGAGACAGAGGGAGAAGTGGAGAATTTGTGGAAGTCTGCTCGTTCTTGGTTGGGTGGTATTTCTGGACCCCACGCGGTTTTTTCTAATTTCTTTACTTCCACTCCAACATCTCTCTGTTCTTCCCCACTGACACTCCCATCTCCTTTGGCTTGCTCTGTGTTATTGATTTAATAATAAAAATGTTTGTATGAGATAAAAAGTTATTAAGTTTTAGACATTTAGTCTTGAGATTCTGTAATGGGTAACTTTCGAATATCAGTTGCTTATTAAAGGGTCCTATGGGGGATTAACAGAGGCGGGCACAATACATGGTGCGTGAGAGTATCAAATATAGTTACGTAAAATTCGTGTGCTCCGTACAGTGGCGTGGCAGTGTGTGGTTGAATGTTGGTGGTGGACGGTGGTTTGAGAAGACTATGGTGCGCTGCGTTGCTTTGTAAATATGCTGATTGACCGCTGTTGCTCCATGCTCCTCCCTCTTTGGATGCTACTCCGATTATTTAACAAGTCCAACGATGTGATGTCCAGGAGCGTTCCTATTCTACAAATTTTGTGTCCCTTTTATATTTATTATTATTATCCTTATTATTTTGTTAAAAGGGCCGCTGGCTGGCCGTGACATCTTTTCCATACATTACATAAAGACAAACCTGGCAGCATCTGACACAATTCACCAGCAATCAATAAATATTACTACTAATTTCCTTTTGTTCTTTTATTTTCATTTAAATATAAAAGAATTTGATAGTTATTAATCAAAGTTAGCTGCGATTTCATGGCCCATGTCACGCCAGAATCTTAAACTGCGTTACATCTACGTATGAGGATAGTTAATATTGGGAGAGATTTGTGGAGGTTAGAGAGTATTCCACACAATAGAATAGGGCAATGTTAGAACAACTCTTTGGGAAATACCCATTGGAGATTATCGCCCATCAAAATTGAATAGGTTTACTAAGATCGGTTCGAAGGGCAATTCTAATTAATGTACACCAGGCACACCTCACAAAGCCTAATAAAACCAGCCCACTAGATATAGAACAAGACTTCTCCAATCTAGTAAAACCTAATGTCTCCCTTTCTGCTTTATGTTTCCATCTTCTTTAATTCTAACCTGACCATCAGACCTAGCCGGCTAGCCCTAAGCGAATTCTTTTTGGACTCTGGCAAGTGCCAATCTCTCTACACCGGCAACAACAGTATATGTTTGTATGAAAACCCTTTTAAGCGTTTTCATTTATCAACGCCTAATGACAGGGTTAGGCTGTTCCTAGGACGGATTTAATTAGTGGGGGAGGTACTGGATTATGGTCAAGTCAACTCGCTTTGACCAATCAAAACCGACCACTTCTTTTTTTTTTTTTTTGTGAAATGCGTATTCCATACCAGATATTTTAAAGTTCTATTAATCATGCATATGATTTCATCATATCATTAATTTGTATTGACTTCTTGACATAAAAAAGGGTAAAGCTACAAATAGATCGCACTCCACATTTACTTCATCTTAACCACCAAGTAATTAATGAAAGGAAAAAACAAGAGTTTGAGCAAGGCCCCTCGTGACTATGAATTCTTATTGCTAGATTCAGCGTATGCTTCCTACATGAATGTTTTTTTCATCAATTTCTTCGCTTTCACCATTGTCAGACAGAGCTTTAAAAGCAAATCACCTACTAAAAAAGAAAAGGGGGCTCCAAAGCACGAAAACAGAACTCATTTGGCTAATTAACCAAATATGAAATCACTTGAATTTCCGAGTGTGTGATTTACTCAACTCATTGTTCAGCGAAAACTTGGGTGGATCAATGGGACACCTATCGAGCGCCCTGTTGATAAATTATGTAAGCAACAACATTTATTTCTTCTGTCCAGGCAATTAGAAATTCTGCCCTTGACTGGCACGACTTACTAAAACTGATCTCTCAATAACATTGAGACCATAATCAAATACTAGTAATGAATTAACACCATCATGTATAAGAAGAGAAAAAAAAAAGCATAATAATCAACATCATCTCAGCAATCAAATGCTATTAATGGCATGCATTTTTTATGGATAAAAAAAGGTTATTATATAGTAATAGATATAACATTGCCAAGGAACAAAAAGGCACACAAATTCATTTATGTTTTTCCTTAATTAGACTTGACTAAAACGAAAGTGAACATGTAATAAAGGCATAGGGATTAAGAAGTAGCAAGTTAGCTTAATTTGGAATTGAAAAGTTGGGTGTACAGTAAAATGTGCAAGTGCACAGTAAAATGTGCAAGTGTTCCACATTTGGGCTTCACTTTCGGTGGAAGGAAGGATTCACCAACAAAAAAAAAACACAAGAAAAGAAATAATAAAGCATGGGTCGATCCGTTTTGTCGTCACAAAGTCAACAGCGTAACGGTGACTTTGAAAAGTCGGTGTAAATCGGCACGTGTCGGTGGTCCACGCAATAACTTCCTCCCACATCATTATTTTTCTTTTATATTTTTCCTTCATTGTTTCTAACTTTGGTCTAACAAAAATATCTGACTCAAACCTTCACTTTGAGGCCAAGGTTATTCCACAAGGACATACTCATTGGGTCTCGACGCAAGCTCTTCTTTACTTATATGCGTGCATGCCGAAATTAACGCTTAACCCTCACTTTTTAATTTTTTTTTTCTTTTCTCAATTAAGGGACATATTCACTTATTATGTGTATATATATAATATTAAAATTTAAAAAAATTTAATTATTAGTTAATCTAAAGGATGAAAAACGGTTTTTTAATATTTAGGAGTACCACAATTATTTTGTTTAATAGATGAAAAAGAGAGAGTAAAGAAAGGCGTTAAAGAAATTAAAAAGGGGAGAAAATTGTTTTCTCTTTTTTCGTAAAGAGATGAATTTTGATGGAAACTACATGTTTTTTTTAAATAATCAATTTCAGTTTAATAGATAAATGAAAGAAAAAAAAACACTTGGTCAATTAATTAAAACTAATCGCTTTACTTTTATAATATCATTCTCTATTTTTCTTTTTATTTTTATTTTCGTCCCTTAGATTAAATAGCATTAAGAATGAAAAATAATTACAACTCTTTGCAGACTTGAACTATTTATTGGTTTACTAAATTTTAATATGTTGCCTTGATTTAATTTGTTGAAAAGTTTATAAATGGTTTTCCTAGTTGTTTCATCACTTTTATCTAACATATTTGTATATCTTGATAGGACATACAGTTATCGAATAAATTTAATATAAAATTATCAATTCATGTGTAAATCAATTAATTTATAAATAAAATATTATAATCAAATCAATAAGCTATTACCATATCCAATGAGATAAATGTATATTAAAATACAATAAAGAGATGAATAGTATTTTTCATTTAAAAAACAAGTCAAATATAGACAGTTCTTCCTTCCACGGTCGGTGCAAGCCCTTGGGAGGAGAAATATCAACAACTCGGCCGCTAAGATGCCGAAAAAGTGGCCTTTACACGTGGTGATCCCATGAGGTTGACACGTGGTACCAGTCCTGAGTTGTGGTTTGCTTCAATATCTGTCTCGAAAGAATGAAAAAATCTCTCTTTCTCTCTCTTTGAGGCATTCAACTACAAGTATGTGGCCGGACACAGATGGGGACATCCTTTTTCCCTTTGACCCCAAACAGGCAATCAGCCACCAATATCTCTTTGCCCGTTCGTCACAAAATCCGGAGACAACATGCATGAATGTGTCATAGAATTCCCAAGGCCCTTTCGACATCAACAGTTGCTAGCAAATGGAAACTTGCAAAAGTGTGTCGCAAATTATAGGGCTCTTTCCACATCTTTTGATTCAGCATATTGCATCGTATTTGCTTTGACAAGGAAGCAGATGTGTCTCTTTTTGATTGTTTCGTCTTGTTTTGATACATTGGAAAATGGTTTAGGGCACTACTATATTGTGGATGGTCCGGCCATCCTTGTAATTTGTAGTTATACATAGTGGAAAAACATTAACATAGAAGAATCCAATGAAAGGAATCCTCTTCCTTGACTTCATTCTCTCTATCAAATGTGAAATTTTCAATGATGATTATAGGTGGGGATACGTGTACCTTCGAGATTTGACTAGTGAAGTTTGGTATCAAACTCTTGCAAAAAATGGAGTATACAGACATGCAAGGTGTTGGGGTTGGATGAATTGAGGAAATGAAAAGTTATTCCATTATATGACCTGGTTATCGATTAAACCAGAAAAAAAGTGGAAAAGGTTGTAAGTTGAACAAATGTTACATGTATGAAATCGAAAGATTTTCTTCCATATTTGAACTTTCCATGCTATAGAAACAGGTAAGAAAAAGTTTAGCTTCAAATGAAATTCTAATGAGAATTCGCTTTCAAATTAAAATTCGCCATGCTTTATTGGAAAGAATAATTGTCAAACGAAGAAAGTAGATTCAACAGAAACGGAAGCAGTGGCTTATGTGGTCGCATGATATATAATTGGTTTGCTCAATGATTTTTCTCGTATTTTATCGTCACTATCATGAGAGAACTGGATTGCACCGCTCTCTTAAAGAGATGTGGGCTTAATTATAGGGAGGAGAACAATTTTGAATGGGGCAACTTGATAGACCAGACATGCAAACACTCAGATTACATGAATTCCCATTTTTATTTAAGTTTCAACTTTGAAGAGTCCTCCCTCAACAAGAAAGCTATAGATCTGGTAAAGATGGGTTTTGACAAAAATAGATAATGTCAGACGTGTATATCTTAGTATTATCAAGCTAGCTAACCAATCAACAGCTTCCTCTTCCATAAAATATGTAATTCTATTCTACAAATATCAATTTGTTAGTATAATAATGAGTGGTGAGCACGCGGAAAATGTTTCACATCACGACCATTGAGGTGGACTACCATTTGCCAGAAACCTATAGTTTGATTATATATATATATATATATATTTATAACTTATTCTTTGCTAATATATAGTGGCTTCAAGCTTTTATTCAAACGAGTGATATCCTCCAATGAACCTTCAACCTGTCATGCCCTCTGATACCGCTTACCTCATCAATCATACCACCCAAATTAGTTAATCAAAGTGCAACAAAGAGGTGGCAGCGGAATGCTAGTACATATGGGCAGCCG